GCATCTGCTAAGCCTGAGTTACCCTTAGTCCTCACCCACTTTAAGGATGACGGATACCACAGCCCAGGAGATGGCTGACTTTTCCAGGGTGAAACATTTTGTTGGAGTGCAGCCAGGAAAGGGCTTCCCTCTCTTCTTTCAACCTGGGCAGACTATATCACACAGTGTGGCTGGGCTGGTGAGTCTCCTGGAGAAAGATGAGAGGACATCTCTCTGTTTGTGGTGTGCTATCTCCACTGGGACAGCTGAGGGCCTGGGAAGGTAGGGACAAAACTGGAGCTGAGAAAGGGATGGGAGCAGCCGGAAAAGAGCTGTGGGCCAGCCTCACCACCAGAGGTGTGACAAGCTCTACACGGGAATCAGGCAGCAGCTGAGGATCAAGGAAGGAGACTGGGTTTCTTGTAAATAAGCACAGAGAAACCCCAACCAACAGAGCTTGCAAAACATTTGTTTTTTCCCTCCCTTTTCCTGATTTCATGTCATTTGGAGGAGGTGGTGGAAAGAAAGGAATAGAGGAAAAGGAGCTGACAAAATAGCTGTGAGTGAGACACCTTCGCTGGGCATTTGCTCAAGGAGGAGAGTGCAAGGTTGCGTGGAAATCCTACAGATGGGTTACCTCTGCTCCATCCATGGCTGGAGATTGGATCCCCAACTCTGGCCCTCTGTCTCTTAAATACATGTTAATGGTCACGTGGTGCAGCATGCAGATTTGTTGCTGGATGACTATTAGCTGGAGGAAGGGCTGTTTTTCACTGGAGGGTACAGCTGTTCCTGGGGTAGTTTCCATTTTGTTTGTGGTTATGGGGGAGGAGTGTTGAGGGAGTGGGAAATGGCATGAAGGAAATTGTCACTTCCTTTCCAGAGAATTCCAGAAAGGTTTCATGGGGGACTGGGTATTTTAGGAGTAAGAGCTGGCTCAGAGAAGACAAGGAACTGGAGAACTCTGCTTTGTGGCCCAGCTGACCATCTGGCCCCCATGTTTCCTGGCATGCGTAAAAATGCCACGGGTGTTACTAGCAATTCGGTGAGAGCCATTGGCTCGGCTGAACGGGTGTAGATTTAAACTCACACCACAGAGCTGTGGACGTGGCTTTCGCGTAGGGGCTGTTTCCTGTAGAGGAGGCCCAGATGGGTGGGTGCTGAACACTGCTTGACGTGTTCCAGTGACAGCCCCAGATAGGGTCTTTACGTCTGCACCGCCACCCAGCTGTGGTGACGCAGGAACAGCCCAAACCACTTCTATTTTGCTATTTTGGTTTTGAAATGCAGTCAGAACCACAGAGAGCTGGAGGTGTGCATTTGCAGGCCTGAGACTTAGGCGCCCTCACTTGCTTGCTCCCTCCTGTGGCACATGCATGCGCACATACAGTGTCCAGGGGTCACATGCTCTCACAGAGGCTTTGCTTTCAGCCCAAGTAGGATAGGCCCTGGGAGCCAGGGATCCTTCAGTGGCCTCCAAGGGAGTGAAGGCAGCAGACTTTGACTGGTACAGGGATGGGGCAAGGGAAGGGAGGCTGGAATTCACCACCAGTTACTAAGGGTTCCCAGGCACCTCAGTTCCTTGAGTCAAATATACCCCCTAGACCTCTACTCACTGGCAAGACAGTGTCCAGGGCTCTAGGCCATCGAACCTGTGTCCCAGTGCATCTCTGAGGACACTGCGGAGGGTAGCCCCTGGTGTGGGCCTCTGGCCTCCAGCAGGGCGGGCCATCTGTGGTGGTGGCTTCTTTGGTTTCAGGTTCCTTGGAGAGGGAGGTTATTTTGAGGGACTTGGGGAGGTTGTTCACTCCTTTGCCGGGGAGAGTGGGTTAGCATGCAAATGAGCCTCTTCTCCACCTCTCACTTTCAAATCCTCAAACATCTGATGGGGGAGGGACGCAACTTTCTGGGCTGGAAGTTTCCATGGTATGGTTGGGGGAGAGTTATCTTAGCCTCAGCCAATAGGATAGGACAAATGGGACATCTACTTGCTCCTCGTACCCCTTCACCTCAGCTTCAGGCTCAAATTCGGGCAGAATGAGACACCAGGATGAGCTGTGGCTGCTGGGTACGGGACGGCCTCCCAATACTCCGTGCTGGACCAGTGAGATCTGCACCAACCAAGTCCTTAATTTAGAGACTTAGATATATAGACACTTAAGAATGCAGTTAGATTAGTCTCTTTCTTTTATTTCAAACCTCTCCTCCTTGTGTTGATAGCCAACTCTTCCATTCAATGTAGTACCTGCTTCCTCCCTCTCCCACCACCTCCCTAGCACAGCGGACCTTGAGGGGTTTGCCTCAAAGACCTATGGGCCACATACATATTCTGCAGGCATTCTCTCCCTGGGGAGCGTAGATCTTTGAATTTCTGAGGGGGGCAGTGACGGTGGCAGCCCCACTCCCATCTTCACTGCAGCTTCTTTGAGCTGGCAGGAGTTGGGGGAAAACTTATGATTGAGCTTGCTGGCCTGATGGCCAGACCAGGGCAGCTCTTTGACCCACAGGGGCTTTCACACACACGTTCCCACCCTTGTGGCACATTGGCACGCCCTGCACACATATATATCTACAATGTGTTTGTACACACCCAGCAAATTCCCATTGTGACATTGCACAAATATACAGATGTTACACACATAGAGTGCACACATTCCTCTCATTCTCGTATAAGGCAGAGTACAAGACACCCACCCCACACCCACTGTACATATGAATATACTTAGTGTCTGGAAAACACCTCACTTGTACTGAATGACTAGTACCATTCATTCACTCATTCATTCACTCATTCATTCATTCATACGTTCATTCCACAAACACAAACTGAGTATCTGCTACATGCCAGGCATAGTGCAAAGTGCTAAAATTTCATCAATGACCAACACAGCCATTCCTGTCCTCAAGGAAGCCACTGTCTAATGGAGAAGGTAAGGAAGGTGAAAAGTTCCACAGGCTGAGATCATGGGCAGTGAACTCACAATCATGAAATACTTATCTGTGAAGGGATGAGCCAAAGAGATGAGCAAACCTGAAGGGAAGGCACATGGCAGGAAGGCCCAAGGGCCTTGGGTGGGGGAGGTAGCAGACACAGGAGTTTCAGAAGTTTCATGTTTAGACAAAGTGGGATTTAGGTGAAAGTGATAGCCTTTTGTTTGATTAGTTCGAGAATACTTCCTGGGGGTAGACAGCCTGCCTGTGGGCCTGTGGGAGGGCTGGAGCTGTGGAATGTGGGCCTTGGGCACTTTGGCTGGGGGAGACAGACCTTCCAAGAATAAATGGCCTTAGGAGGAATCTCAGGCCACAGGAGACCAGGTCACTTGCAGGGTAAGGTGGGGGTGGGGTGTGGTGGAGCTCAAGCGAGGATCACGGTTTTGCCAGTGCTTCCTCTCTGTCCCAGCAGGTATCAGTCTCCCATTCACCCAAAGGGAAACTCAAACCTCAGAGGATGAGTTGAGTGACTTCTCAAAGTTTTTTTGGGGGGGTGGGTGGAAAAGTGTGGGGATGAGAATGGGGGTGGGGAGAGGGTGGAGCCAGCCCTGTGGGCTAACGGAAAGGAAGTAGGAGAGGCCTGGGTGTCTCCTGTGGGGGAGAGCGGTCATCAGAGAGGTCACCCATGGTCCCCCTCCCTTTCCTCCCCTTTGCCCCTCTCTGAAGTTCCTCATTTCTTTCCAGCCAGGAGAAGGTTTTGCCATGCTTGGCACTGCCAAAGGAGTGTCAAGGGGGTAGGGGTCAATTGTGTTGCTCCCCCTATGGTGCTTGGCCCTAGGTCTTCAGATGCTGATGGCTGAAGCAGGCTGTCTGTAGACCCAGCACACACACAATATATATAACTAAAAACAGAACACTAAGACGTGGCACGTGGAAGTGGAGAAGCCCAACTGTTCAGGACCGGAGGAGCAGAGTAGATCGGCTGTAGGGACGAGGGAGCAGGAGTTAGGGTTTGGGGAGGCAGGCATGGGTGGGACCACAGACATCGTACAAGCATAGCAAGCACAGGAAACAATTGGAGGCCCGGGTGCCATGTGAATGCCTGAGGTACAGACTATGAACATGAGAGGCAATCAGGGAGAGGAGAGACATGTGGGTTAGAGCAGACAGATTTCCTGGAAAAGGAGGGCCCCTGAGCCAGCCCTGGAGGATGGGCAAGGTTCCTTGGGCCCCTCCCCCAGCTGGGGCTCTCCTCATGAGTTCCCAGGGTGACAGTTCAGTCTTGAAACTGAAAGCAAAGCTGAACCAACAACACAAACCCACAACCGGCAGGGAGGCCATCCTCTCCAGCCAGCAGCAGTGGTGGCAGGGTGGTGATGAGTGCACACAGCTTGTGACCCACCTGGCCCTATCGCCAGGCTCTTTGAAAGGTGTGGCCGCGTCTGTGAGCTCCATCCCCACAAGCAGAGTCGGGCTAACAACACAAGCCTCACAGCAAGACATTTCTTCCTCTGTAACTCTGCCCTTCAGAGCTAAGTGGCTCCCACTCCCAAGGTAGACGGAGCCAAGCAGAGTCTAAAAGAGCACCCTTTACACCAATGTGTCCCCCACCCACACCCCTCACATAAGATTCTTCCTCAAGCCAAGGGAATTTTAGGGCTTTTTTGTGCTATTGCCCCATCCATGAGGCCCTGATTTTCCCTGTGGCCACACCCTGAAGACTAATGTTCTGGGTGGAGAGAGACCAAAGTCCCTCTATCTGTCACCTTCTCCAGAGGAGCGGGTGAGGGGAGGGTGGGGAGCCACATATCTTCAGGGCCAGCTCAGGTGCAAATGCTGGTGACTTAGACTGGCACTGAGGCTTGGCCCCTTCGCACTGGAGATGACTCAGTTAACATCCTTTTCCCCTCTTTCTTTACCTGGCTCCTTTCTTCTCCTTCCCCGTTCTCTCATTGCTCTCCCCTTTTAGCCATCCCTCTTCTGGCAGTCTGCCCTGTTGTGGCAGGGTCCCTTTGGTTCACCAGCTGTCCTGGGAACAGAGCTCAAAGAAGGTAATTTACTCACTGCCCCCACCTCTCCCTTCTCTCTAGGTCATTCCTGCGGTTGGCCCAGCTCAGCATGCAGCCTTGAACCTGGCTTAGACCACCACCTACTCCAGCTCTCTACATCCCCTGTTCTCCTGTGGCTTGGGGCGTAGGCTCTATCTCCGAGGTCCCTGAACAGCATCTCTTCATCAAGAAAATTCCACAGCTCCAGAGGGCCCTGTGAATCCTGCTGTCACCTCTGAGAGGACAGCATGGCTATTACCCTCCAGCCCAGTGACCTGATCTTTGAGTTCGCAAGCAACGGGATGGATGATATACACCAGGTACAGCCCCACAGAACGGAGCCCAGTCAGCCAGCGCAGACGATCAGATAGACACAGACAGGCAGGCAGACAGCCAGTAAGCCAGCCGGCTGGCTGGCTAGCCAGTCAGTCAGCAAATATTGATCAAGCACCTACTAGGTTCAAGGCACTGGGCTTGCTTGCCAACCAGACTGTGTGCCAACTAGTCACTCATGCAGCCAGTCAGTAATCATTGGACAGTCATTTAGTGAGCCAGTCGCCCACGTGCAATTACAGGGCACGTGCAGTCACTAAGTCAGCCAAGCAGCTGCTAAATAGACCAGCTGAGCTGTTGGCCAGGCAGCAGTGTGGGCTGAATACACAGTTGTGCACTGACCTTCCTATGCATTTTCAGCGACTTCCCTTTACCCCCTAGTGTCACCGTGAGAAAGTTGCTGGGCCAACCATGTAGCAAGAGTGAGCACTGCCAGTTGGAACCACAGGGCAGAGTCCAACCCCTGGCATCTTCAGACTCATGTCCCTAAGCATGGTTGATGAACCCCTCCAAAACCACCTTGATCTGAAATTCAGGGTAAACTGGAAATGTAGTCTTCTAGTGGGAGGAAGTTGGAAAATAGGACAGACTTCTGGCCCTCGGGTCCCCACCACTCCATACCTTGCCCTGCACTGGGGCTAAGAGAGAACGTTTTTCATGCACTATCTTAGGATAGTGTCCTGGTACGGGCATCATCACCCTCCACTCCCTCCATTCCACAAAATGAAGAAGAGGCAGCCAGGTACAGTAGAAGGAATGGGAGATTTAAGAGTCAACAGTCCTGGGGTCTGATCCCAGTTTGGCCACAGTGTCACCTAGGCAAGTTCTGCCCCCTACCCCATCTGGCTACCATCTCCCCATCTTCACCAAGAGGAAATCCAGGTGGATTATCTGTAAGGGTACCTCAGTCTAATTTTGATGCTATCTTAAATCTTTGTGAAGATGGAAAACTTTGTCCAATCCATAGCGGACTACGAAAGGCTGCCCCCTAGTGGGCTTTGAGCACATGTGCTTTCTGTGCAGCCAGGTCTTAACTTAAAGTTCTTCAGTTTTATTGAACACCTCTGGGGTGCCTAACTTTATGGAAAGCATTATGGGAGGAGAAAGAAAAATCTAAATTTACCTGGGTTCTAAATGCTACTAGTCATTTTTTACTTGTTTTTAGTCTGCTCAGCAATTGTTTCTGTTCTTCATAGAGGCTGTTCATAGAAGCTCCCAACCCCATGCCTTCCAAACCTACACGTGCCCCTTTACCCTCAGCAGACAGCCTCTCCTCCAATCCACAGAGAAGCCCAAAGCCAAGGACGCCCTCAGTTTCTCTCCCTCCTCCCTTTTATTGGTAACATCACTGTTCATATTTTCTTCCCGCTGGCCTGGGAAAATGAAGTATCCCTGTTCCTTCCAAGGGTAACTCCTGCCCCTGTACCTAATCTCTTCTCTTCTGCCCCCTTGAAGACCTCAAACCATGAATCACCTCTTCTCTTTCTCTTGTATCTTTCAGACCTCCCAGACAACCATAAAAGAAAACCTTCCCTCTCTTCCGCCCACCTCCTTCAAACTACCACCTTCTTAGTGCCTTTCTTCTCTCCAGCCTAGGCTCCACCCTCTGTTTACTTTCTCACCTCCTTTCTCTCATTCTTTTTAGGAAACAGTTTTTACTGCAAAAAATTGTATCATGAATACAAAAGAGTGCATAAATCACACATATATGTATATAGATATCTATTTAAAGAATAACTATAAAATGAACACCCATGGTCCTGGCCAGTTGTGGGTTTGATCCTCTTTCCAGTCCCAGTGCATATGAGAGGCAACCAATCAATGCTTCTCTCTCACATCGATGTTTCTCTCTCTCTCTCTCTCCCCCTCCTCTCTTTAAAAGCAATGAAAAAAATGTCCTTGGGTGAGGATTAAAAAAAAAAAAGACCACCCATGAGCTCACCACCCAGCTTAAGAAATAAAATGTTACCAGTCCCCTAGAAGGCCCCAAAACCCAAAACAATGAGAACCTACTCTGTGCCAGGCCCCGTTCTAATTGCTTTACTCATGTTGATCCAATTAAACAACCCTATGGGATCAGTAATATGATCACCCCAATTTTATAAATGAAGAAACCAATGTATAAAAAGGCTAGGTAACTTGCCCAGGGCACACTGCCAGTAAGTACTAGAGCTTGGTTGCAAACCCAGGCACTCTGGTTCTATATCAGCACAGTCCAGTAGAGCATCCTGAGATGCTAGAAGTGTTCTATATTCATCTTACCCAGTATGGGGCCACTAGTCTCATGCGGCTGTGGAGCACTTGCACTATGGCTAGCACAAATGAAGAACTGATTTTTAATCTGAAAACAACATACATTTATATTTAAATAGTCACCTGTGGCTAGTGACTACCATATTGGACAAACAGCTCTTAACTTGATGGCCTTAATCACTACACCCAACAGGCTGCCTCAGTCCGTCGCGTCTGCAGTCCATTTCAATGCACCTCGGGACTCTGGCACTCCTCCGAAACTGGTCTAGCCAGGGTGACTGCCCACTGGCCAAACCCAAAGGCATTTTATTAATATTTACTGTTCTGGATCCTTTAGGAACATTAGGCAAAACTGAGCATTCTCATTCTTTTTTTCATGAAGAAAGAACTAACAGTCCCATGAAAGAAAATTTGAAAAACACAGAAAACTAGAAAGAGAGTGGAAAAGTCTCCCAAAGTCCCAAAACTTAAATAAAGTCATTATGAACATTCTGGTGTATTTCCTTCTATACACAATATTTATTTTTAAATTTTATTTATTTATCTTTAGAGAGGGTGGAAGGGAGGGAGAAACAGAGGAAGAGAAACACTGATGTGAGAATGTGCTCTGACAGGGGACCGAACCTGCAACCTAGGCAATTGCTCTGACCAGGAACCAAACTGGTGACCTTTTGGTTTATGGGACAACACCCAGCTAGCTAACTGAGTGATACCAGTCAGAGCTATACATAATTTTAAAACAAAAACAGTTGTGATCACTCTCCTTTTTTATGTAGCTTTGCTTGGTTTTAGAGCAACCATGTCCTCCAGGGGTCAATTCTCATCCTGATCATTTTTTTCACTCCAAGGGATTTAGCAACCACCTTGTTGAGCTCTTGGACACATATTTTTTACTTCCTGAGAGGCATATTCATCTTAACTATCTTTACGGTACCTCAAACTCACCATATCCAGACACTGTTCCCTGTACCTTTCTCCAAAAACTTTTTCTCCTCCTCCTCCTCCTCCTCTTGAGGGTTCCCCCTTAACATGGGCAGTGTCCCCATGTACCCACTGAATCAAACTGGAAATTGGAACACTCTTCCCCCTCCAGGCAAGTGACTGCGTGCTTATGTTTCTACCTCTATAATGCTTCTGTTCTCTCATCTTCATTGCCAAAGGCTGAGCGCTAGGATGGCCATAATCTGAGCCTGTAACCCTGGGTACCTAACCCTTACTGGAGCCTGAGTCCCTCACCTGACTATAGACCGAGCCCTTCACCTTTATTATTGACTAGTCCTTTCCCCCGGCCTCAGGATGATCCTAGCCCTTTCCATAGACTGAGCACCGACCCCGGCCATGGATTGACCTGTAAGTACCACCAATTAAAACTGTCTTCCCTTGGTTGAATGCAGGTGGTACAAAGATAACCCATCTCTATAAATTAAAAATTCACTCAAAGAATCACCTAATGAGGTTGGAACCAGAGCAATGTCATCTTATACAAAGGACAGCTTCCGAGGGTTCTAACAATGAGGAATTGCAAGAAGTGCCAGATTCTAGTAGGAAGGGCTTTCTGGAAGAAGCAAGTGGGTCTTCAATCAGATCCCTCTCTTCACAGCTGGAAGACCCCTCAGTATTCCCCGCTGTGATCGTGGAGCAGGTACCCTACCCTGAATTACTGCATCTGTATTCAGGCCTGGAGCTGGACGACGTTCACAATGGCATCATAACGGACAGGACCTTGTGCATGACAGAGGATCAGGTCCTGGAGGGTAGTTTTATGCTGGCAGGTCTGTGCCCTTCCTGGGCAGGGAAGGTGTGGAGGAGAAAGGGGTCTATCTTCTGGGAACAGCAGCCCACACACAATGGCTTATAGTGACACATGCAGCGAAGGCAAGATCCCCAACAGTTGGAACTTAGATGCGGCGGGCGGGACAAACAAGAGGTAGCATCGCTTCATACTACCCATCTAAATGGGTAGTATGGGAAGCCATCTAAATGGATTCATGATGTTTTGAGATGGAGGGGGACAATGAGGAGCGAAGATAACTCGGGTGGGTGTATGGAGAAGGTGGGAGGTCCACTGGCCCCTTCCCGGCTGTCCTTTGGCTCCTTAGCACTATTTTCTGGGCTGGCCCTGGTCATGGCTGTACCGCCTATGCTGTGCCTACTCTAAGAGAACTTTTTTCCTCCCCTCTACCATGGAACTGGAACCAGATGAAAATGAAGCAACCTCACAAACCATGTCAACCACTGAAGTCTTGCTCAATGTTGAGTCTCCCAACAACATCCTGGATGAGAAGCAGATCTGTAAGTGTGAAACCCAGTGCCTTAACTCAAGGCACCACAAAATACCATTTAAAAACATCACATCCATGCATTGCATTCCCGGGCACTTGCGCGCGCAGGCATCTCTACCCGTACTCACCGACATACACGTAAACATGCTTTTGAGCTGTGACTGAAATGGGAAGGGGCTAGAGGGCCCCTTTCCCACAAACAAGGAAAAGGTGGCCAGGGTGACTTTTTATTTCAAATTTAAAAAATTGATTTTAGAAAGGGGGAGGAAGGGAGAAGAAGAGAGATAGAGATAGATCAGCTTGCCCCACTTGTTGATACATTCATTGCTTGGTTCTCGTATGTTACCCTGACTAGGATCGAGCTCAAAACCTTGGAGTATTGGGACAATGCTTGAACCAACTGAGCTCCCTGGCCAGGGCTTCAATTTTTAAACTGTGGTGAAGTACACATAAAATTGACCACCTTAACCACTTTCAGTGTGCAGCTCAGTGGTACTAAGTTCATTTGTATTGTGTGCAGCCATCGCCACCATTCCCCTCCAGAATGCTTTTCATCTTGCAAAACTGAAACTTTCTACTCATTAAGTTCCTATTTCCCCCTCCCTTCAGCTCCCGGCAACCCCGTTCCACTTTGTGTCTATGGATTTGACTACTGCATATAAGTGGAATAATACAGTGTTTGTCTTTTGGAGACTGCTTTATTTCACTGAGCATAATGCCGTCAAGGTCCATCCGTGTTGTAGCATGTGTCAGAATCTACTTCCTGTTTAAGGTTGAATACTACTGGCCAGGGTGACTTTTGGGGCCTCTCTCCCAGGGCCTAGAAAGTCCTACTGGACTCCCAACAGGACTATGCAGGGTGTGGCTTGTTTTAAAATATACCAGGTTTGGCACCTCCTCATCCCTTTCTTGTTCTTGGAGGTTGGCCCTCCCTTCCCAGAAGGCCCTCAAGGCAGGTTTCTCATCTAGAACCCCCTCAGACATTTGTTCTGACTCCACAGGAGAATTCCTGGCCCTAACTGTCCCTCCCAAAGGGGGTGCTGGGATACTGTGCAGGAATGAAAGTCCTGAAGCTGTAAGTTAAGAGTCCTAGCATTTCTGATCTCAACTCCAGCACTAATATTTATTCAAGATTCAACAGATATTTACTGGTGTCTCCATGTGCCAAGCACCAACTTGCCGTGTGACCACGGGCACCATTACCTGCCATCCCTAGGTTTCTGTTTCCTCATCAGGAAAGCGGAGGAATTGGGCTAAAATTTTTCTAAGGCCCCTTCCAGTTGTAACAATGAGTGAATAACTAAATCAAGGCGGCCTTTTACCTTGAGTGTCACCTGGAACTTCCCCATTACCAGCAGTGGGCTCGAAATGTGGCAGCAGTGATTGGGGCCAGCTCATGCCCACAGCTCTGCAGATGTTTCCTCTTCCCATGGTGCAAGACACATGAGGCATTTTCAGGTGTATGCTGTGTTTGGGGCTGTGGGGGAACAGCACTTCTGCCCTCCCTGGGAGCCTCCCATTCTCTGGAGCACTGGAAGACCACACTTCTACCCTGCACTGGGCCCCAGCCACCTCAGGCCTTTTTCTTGTAGTCAGCACCTCCGAGATTCTTCCAGATGCAGACACTGCTCCAGCTACCAGTCTGCCCAGCTGCCTGTTTCCTGCCTCTGAGCCCAATGCCCTGAACAGGGCTGATGACACTGGTGACCAGGAGGGGCATTCTCTGGAGGACAAAATCCCCAGAGAGGAAAGTGCCAAGAAGACTGGAAAATCAAAGAAGAGAAGTAAGAGAGAGAGAAAGTGTGTGTGTATGTGTGTCTTCCGGGGGGTGGGCGGTAGGAGAGGGGCAGTAAGGGAGGCCATAGAGATGAGTGGGTGGAGACTCACAGACACATTGAGAGGACAGCTCTCTGGTATGGCAAAGATGGAGGAAAAGGTCTCCCTTTTGTAAAACCTGGTCTCGTCAGTTGACTTGCCCACAGCCTGGCATTTCCCAGGTCACTGCTATCTACCCAGCATAGATGGAAACTCTTCCAGAACTGCTGATGATATCGCAATGGGTTGAATCCTAGGCTGGGTATTCAGATGCCGGGCTTTGGCCCCCTGGCCAGTCCCTGGCCCCCTGGGGGCCTCTGCTCTGTGCTATGTGTGTTCATCTTCCTTCTGGGAACCCATGGAGCTGAGGCCATATATGGGAAAGGACTTTGGGCCTTCCCAAGCCCCACTGTTACTAATTTACTTGGGTGATGTCTGGTTGATACTGCCTTGTCAGCATGGCAGGCAGAACCCCACTGACCCACACAACAGTCACACCTTTTCATTTCGAAAATTAGGTTAGGCAGATTCCGACCTATGGGTGACTCACGTGCAAGCACCACATTGCCCCATGTGGTAGTGGTGTTCGGAGGGATCTTTGGGGCCTGAAAATGAGGGCAGACCACTGGGCAGGTGTACCTGAGGGCTGTGGCCAAGGAGAATGATCCTAGGCTCTTGCTTGTCTGCTTTGTTGCACCCAACTTGATAAACTTCAGGCCCTCCCTCTTGGGAGCCTGGCCTGCAGTGCCTGCCATGGTCTCAGCCTCATCCTTCTCTCGCCTTTTCCTCACAGTCCGGAAGACAAAGGGCAACCGCAGTACCTCACCTGTCACTGACCCCAGTGTCCCCATACGGAAGAAATCTAAGGATGGGAAAGGTATGGCTGGGAGTCAGTTGAGGCGGGAAGGGAGCCAGGGTACCTGCACTGCCCCTCACCACCTGCCCCTCTTCAGGCAACACCATCTATCTGTGGGAGTTCCTCCTGGCACTTCTGCAAGACAGAAACACCTGCCCCAAGTACATCAAGTGGACCCAGCGAGAGAAAGGCATCTTCAAGCTGGTGGACTCCAAAGCTGTGTCCAAGCTGTGGGGGAAGCAGAAAAACAAGCCTGACATGAACTATGAGACTATGGGAAGGGCGCTGAGGTAGGAGCTTCTGGGGGTCCCTGGCCCGGGCGAGTCACCAAGCTCTTTGTTATGTGCAACGAGGCCTTCCTGCTGTAGGGCCCGCTAATGTTCCCCTCTGCTTGGCCCTAAGCCCACTCCCCAGGCCCTCTCTGGAAGGAACAATTCCCTCCCTCTTGCAGCTCTGTCCTAGGTTTTTCTCTTTTGACGCAAGAAGAGCATTTTGGGGCCTTCCATCCCCAAGAAGGTCTTTGTTCACATTCTTCAAGCCAGAGACCTAGAGAGATGGGCAGGAGTGACCCACAGATGGTGTCTCAGGCTGTAGGACTGCTGAAGCTCCCACTCTCCATACATCTTCTCTCATCCGTTACTTACCTTCCAGCCCAAAGCAAGGTGGGCGTTGGCATTTTAAACACCTTCTCACGGACCCTTTGAGTCATCTGGGGGAGGTCTCAGATGTTTCATAAAAGCCTTCCAACTCTTAACAGTTGGTCTTAACCAGTGCCCTTGCCCCTGAGCTCCCAGCGGGTGTCTGGCCAGCCTCCACCTCATGCTTGCCCTGCACCGGAGGGCAGTATGTCCCCGACTAACTCCTCACCCCTTTCCCCACAGATATTACTACCAAAGGGGCATCCTTGCCAAAGTGGAAGGGCAGAGGCTGGTATACCAGTTTAAAGAGATGCCCAAGGACCTGGTGGTGATCGAAGATGAGGATGAGAAAAGTGAAGTGGCGGAGGCATCCCCTAAGGCCTCTACCTCCTCCACCAGCACTGCCCGGCGAGCCAGCTCCAGGGTCTCATCCAGAGCCACTCCCCAGAGCAAGGGCAGCCCTCCCTGGGAAAAGCCGAAGGTTCAGCAGGTCGGTCTACAGCCATCAGCAAGTCTGGAATTGGGACTGTCTTTAGATGAGGAGATCCCCACTACCTCCACTGTGCTTGTCTCTCCACCAGAGGGCCAGGCCAAACTCACCAAAGCTGCAAGGTAAGGGCACCAGGGTCATTATGAGTCTTCCCATAGTACTTAGGTTTGGGGGGCAGTTTTCAGCTTCTTGCAAAGCTCTGTTGTGTGTCCAGTCTCATGAGATCCTCACGAATCCCTGGGAAGCCAGTAGCACACCTGGTCAAAAGGGTAAAAGCAACTTGCCTGTGGTCACACACCAAAGTGATGGCAATACCAGCACTTGACCTGGAGGACTTCCATTGCTAGCTGGGGCTGTTCCTTTTACCTTAGAGGGCTCCCCAAGCAGCTACCAAGGCCCTCCACATCTGAACCTCCTCCTCTAAGCTTCCCCAACTCTAAAAAAGAGGTAACAGCCATGGGCCAGGTGCTGAGTAGGTTGGAGTGTTGTCTCTGTATGCCAAAAGGTTGTAGGTTCAGTCCTCAGTCAGGGCACATACCTAGGTTGTGGGATCAATCCCCAGTGGGGCACATATGGAAGGCAACCAATATATGTTTTTCTCTTACATTGATGTTTCTTTCTCTCTCTCTACTCCTTTCTCTCTAAAATCAATAGAAAAACATATCCTCAGGTGAGGATTAAAAAAAAAAAGAGGCAACAGAGTATATTACAGGGACACCCACCTTGCTTTCCTCAGGCCCTCCAGGCCCTCCCAGAAAGCTCTTGATACTTCTTTTTTGTTGTTTTAATATTTTATTTATTTATTTTTAGAGAGAGGGGAAGGCAGGGAAAAAGAAAGAGAGAGAAACATCAGTGTGTGGTTGCCTTGCACGCCCCCTACTGGGGATAGGGGACCTGGCCCGCAACCCAGGCATGTGCCCTGACTGGGAGTCCAGCCAGCAACCCTTTGATTCACAGGCCGGCGCTCAATCTACTGAGCCACACCAGCCAGGGCTTTTGATACGTCTTGTCCATGCTAAATGCTTCCAATTTTCCCTGGAAAGGTTGCGTTTTGTCTGGGTTGTGTGTGTATAGCTCTCGCTATACTGGCGTGGGTCACCGAGATGCTTTTGTAAAGTGAGAAGGCAGGAGGCTGGAGCAGTGATGAACACAAGCTGCGGAGTCAGAAAGCCTAGATGTGAGTCTGTGATACTAGCTGTGTGATCCAGGGCAAGTGACATAACTTCTCTATGCCTCGGTTTCCTCAAGCTGTACAATCAGATTATGAATCTTATTCAACTTGTGGGCTATTTTGAAGATTGAGGAAAATACTGCATGTCAATTATTTCAAGTGTCTCTGACCTGTAAGTCAATAAATGTTAGTCAAAACAAAAACAAAGAAACAAAACACCTTCAGCCCCTTTCCTCCCATGCCCTTTCTAGCCGGTTGGGAGATACCTCCTGCCTTAACTGAATCTGTTTTCTGTTTCTTCTCAGTGCTTCTTCAGTGCCCAGCAACATCCATCTAGGAGTGGCCCCTGTGGGGTCAGCCTCTGCCTTGACCCTTCAGACAATCCCTCTGACCACAGTGCTAACCAATGGCCCTCCTGCTAGTACTACTGCTTCAACTCAGCTCGTTCTCCAGAGTGTTCCGCCGGCTTCGACCTTCAAGGACACCTTCACTTTGCAGGCCTCCTTCCCCCTGAACACCAGTTTCCAAGAGAGCCAGGTGGCAGCACCAGGAACTCCACTGATTCTCAGTGGCCTCCCCCAGCTTCTGACTGGGGCCAACCGTTCAACCAATCCAACCGCACCCTCCGTCACAGGGGCTGGAGCGGCGGGGCCCAGCTCTCAGCCCCCTGGGACTGTCATTGCTGCCTTCATCAGGACTTCCGGTGCCACAGCAGCCCCTGGGGTCAAGGATGGGCCACTGAGATCCTCCTCTTATGTGCAGGGTGTGGTGACTGGGGCCCCCATGGAGGGGCTACTGGTTCCTGAAGAGACCCTGAGGGAGCTTCTGAGAGATCAAGCTCACCTTCAGCCACTTCCAACCCACATGGTTTCAAGGGGCTCCCACAACCCAAGTCTTCTGGGAAACCAGACTTTGTCTCCTCCCAGCTGCCCCACTGTTGGGCTGACCCCGGTGGCTGAACTTGAGCTCTCCTCAGGCTCAGGGTCCCTGATTATGGCTGAGCCTAGTGTGACCACATCTGGAAGCCTACTGACTAGATCCTCAACCCCAGCTTCCTTCTCTCCATTCAACCCCACTTCCCTCATTAAGATGGAGCCCCATAACATATAGATAGAGGGGCCAGGGAAGTGTGACCTACCAGGCAAAGCTGAGTATCATTTTCATGTGGACTGACTCTAGCAGAGTCTGACTTAAGTAGCTCACCAGCCCTTACATTTTAGTGGAATGTCAATACACCAGACTCCCCCATCCCCCACCCCTGCCTGACGTCACCATGGTCAATCAAGTCTTGCCCAGTTTGAGCATCCCTGGCATCAGACCATGGCCTTCAAGAGCACTAGGGGGTATGCTCTTGTCAGGGCAATGGGCTGATGTGGCAATGGAGGGATAAGCTCCGGAGAAGTTGGTGGCCAGGGCAGGTGCAGGGGCTTTGTGGGAAGAGCCATTTTTGCCTGGGTGTATTTCACTATATGTTCCCTCAGCAGGGAAGTTACTATCTCACATGTGAATATTTCCTTATGTATTTTGTGTACTCATGGGTCTGTATCTTCATTTCTTTGCAGAGGACAAGAGGGCACTATAAGGTTTCTAAGAACATGTGTCTCTCTGTGGGTCAGCCACAGAGATGAGGATTTGTTTTCAGGAAAAGTGTTCTCTAGTTCCCTTTGTACAAACCAAGATTCAGTTGTTCTGAGACTCTGGAGTGCAGGTTGGATCCCCAGATCTGTAGAAATGTCAGAGCTGGAGCAGGTCCTGCGTAGAAGAGCTTCAACTGGTGTGTGTGCGTATGTTGAAGCAACTACAGTTCTAAGGGACAGGAGAAAGCCAAGTGGGCTAAAAGCATGAAGAGAGGAGAGGGTACTGAGCCCTGGGGAGCAGCCCTCCAGCCTAGACTGAGGCCTCCTTTCTGGCATTGGCTTCATTGCCTGCCAGTCACTGGACAGCATGTTTGGAACCTTGGCCACCACAGAAGGCTGTGCTTGAAGAGTTAGGGGCCGAGTGTCCCTCCAAGGGTAGACCTGGCCACCAAGTCCTCAGGCAGGGCTGAGTTCATTGAATGTTTGCACTGAGGGCTTGGGGCTGTGAGACCAGTGTTTGTGCCTAGCCTACACCCTGAATCCTGGGTTCTCTCTTGTTTAATGTCGCTCCTGATAGTTTCCTGCAGTCAGGAATTGCTGGGGATGGTTGATTAGCAAAGTAGATCGGATCTGCCTCCATTACTGCTCATGTGTGCCTGCCGCTCAGCCAGCCTTTTACTTACCTCATTAGTTTGCCAACCCACTCGCCCCTTCCATGGCTACAGCAGACGTTCACATAGACTGTTACCCCTCTTCAATTTTCGCACCTGACCCTGATTCCTTTTTCACCAAGGAGACAGGAGCCAGCAGATGTGAGCTCCCATGGCACTTCTGTCTCTGCACAGCTTCTTGCTTCCCTCTTCCCTCTTTCTAAGGAAGGGCCCACTGATTCTCTCTTAAAGTCAACTCCTCCACCTAGGGCCTGGATCTCCTCCCCTCTCCCTTGTTTGAAATAAGCTTGCTCCTCTCCTGCCAAGTGTAGGGGGCAAAGCTAAGAGCTAAAACATGTCAGCCTCGGAAACAGTTACGGTATCTGGTGAATTTGGTTAATGTGAATCAGTGCCTCAGGACCTTTGCTATGTCCGTGGTGAAAAACCATCCACTTGATCTACCTCCCCAGGTTGCTTTTCTCTTCTTTTGGTCACTGCCAAGCCTACTATCATCCTCTCCCACTCTCTTGTTTTTCCCTTGCGGGGGGGGGGAGCATATACAGTTGTGCAGGTGTATTTATTACATGTCTCCAGCACTTGGCATTAAAGTTTCTTTTTCTAATAAATCAGTTTATTAAGACAATTATCCTGATGGTAGAAAGTAAAGCATCTTGAGAAAGCCACCTCTGATTTTTTTTTTTTTTTGCATAAAGATGCTGCCTGGGTTAGGGGTGGCCCTGTCCCCCTCACCCCAACTCCACATAACTCATCACCTGAAGTCCACTGATATCTTCGTGGTAACATCAAATGTCTTGAAAGTTCTTGGCCCCTGTGAATCCTCACAGCATGTGACACATTCCCAACACCTCCTGCACTAGCTGGGCTTAACTGCACCTTCTGTCACCTGTTCTCTGTGCCATGCTGGCTCTGGATGTACCATGATCACCCAAGGGTCTCATCCATCCTCTTGGGTCTGGCTCAGCTCTTTGGGGATGAGTCTGAAATCTAGGGCTGCATTCCCCAGTTTTCTCCTCAGCTCCAGGTTCATGTGTCCAGGGGTCTGCTGGACATTTCCACCTCGATGCCTGCCAGGCCCTCAATGATGGCCCCCTCTCCCAAAAGTTGATTTTGAAAGTTCACACACGCACGCGCACACACACACACATACACAAAACCTTTCCAAGGGAAGGAAAAAAGCTGTCATGACTTGTCGATTTTTATTAATGGTGCCACCATTTTCCTGACCTAAGCTCAAAATTTCAGAACCATCTGATGGCTGCCTTCACTTGACCCATCTCCTGAAGCCCAGTGCCATTTGCTGTGTCTCTCAAATCTAGCTTCCCTTCCACATTCCCAGAGCCTCAAACTACCCAGAGCTTATCCTGCTCCCATACACATCCAGAGCCTCCCTGTGTGACCTGTCTTACTCCCTCTGCCAGGGCACCAGTTCTGTCTGCTAAAAAGCCTTCAGAGGCTCCTCATTGCTTAGGTAGAGACGATACTCAAAATAATCTCCAGGGAGCTGGGCACTAACCATTTATTTGCTGAATCATAAGGCAGTCCAGGAGTCCTGCAGAAGGGGCAAGGGGGCCACTTAGGATTCAGGGCAGTAGTTCCAGAAGTATGTTGAGGTTAGCCTCAGCCCTGTCTTCAGACAAGTTCCCAAGTCCTTGACCTTCCAGCAATGTCCTTTGCCATTGGGTCACATTGGACTTCCCCAGTCATCTTTCACATTGCTCCCCCACGCACAATGTATTGCTCCAGCCAAACCAATGCATTCACTGGCCTTTGGACAAGCCTCTGTTTAAGTCTCCCACTTCTGTGTTCTTGCTTTACTTGGTTCTGCTCAACTAGAATGTCCCTCACACCCCACTAGTACCAACTGAACACTATCCATCCTTCAAGACTCCGTTGGTGGAAGCTGCCTTTCCCAGAGTTCTTTATTTGAAACTTAGAGCTATTGCCACTTTTGGCAAATGAGCACAAACAGCCTGTGACATCTCTGTTATAATCACAAATTATTAGTTAAATCTTCAATGACCTGGACTTACTTAGTCTCTCCCAGTTAGTGTGGTACTTTCCAAGGGACAGGGGATCGTATCACCCACAGAGCAGGGCACACTACATATGAAGCATCTAGCGAGCATCAGCAAACGGTTACTGATTGAGCTGGCAAGTGATGGGGACCAAACTTTGAGGTAGGTGATGCCAACCTTCCCTTTGCACAGGCACTCACCCCAGGTGCTCCACTGCCCAGGGTCTGCACTCCCTGGCTCAGTGCCCTCATGTCTTTCCCCCCTGCCACGCCCAGCCCCTACGTCCAAGAGGTGTTACTACTTTGAATGTACCCTATCCCTAAAGAAACTTCCCTGTTCAGTTTCTTTCCTAACTCAAAGTGTTAAATTAGCTGATATGATAAACTAACCAGTGCTGATATACTTATGGGAGAAAGCTAGAGGAGAACCTTAGGAGACAAGTTTCTTCTAACCAGGGTTGTGAGGCAACAATATCCCTGTCTTTGTGATGGCTTAATGGAGTCAAGAGACTTGCTCCTCAGCCTCAGCAGCTGATGTCTTACTGCCTCTTCTGGGCTCCCACAGCACTTTGTATATACCTCTCACTGTAGCACTTAGCACATGGTAGGTCCTTAGTTACATGTTTATGTGTCCCCCCCCCAATAGACTGTGAGCTCCTCAAGGACAGGGACTGTGTGTTAGTCACTGATGTATCCCCAGCGCCTAGCACAGTGCCTGGCACACAGTAGGTGCTCAATAAATGTTTGTTGAAAGAATGAATGAGTCCTGTACCTAATCACGGGGATTGCAGCCTTATGCTATGACAGGCAAGAGGGCAGAGAGGACAACTGATACTGGGGGTGGGGGTGGGGGGCTACCACAACCTTTTTGACCTCATATTAACACTGAAGGCAGCTGCTTCCTATGCCAGTGTCAATGGTCACCAGGTGTTGCAAGGGACTCCTGAACTCCTTCCTGCCCCTTTTCAGCTGCCCCTCTTGCCCCAGGACTATTTCTTCATTCCTGAGTGGGACTGAGTGATAGAAAGGTCAGGCCTGATGGGAGGGGCAGGACAAGAAGTTATTCTCACGAACATAGGTCTTTCTGATCCCATCATGTATTTTTAAACATGCCATTGCCTGCGGCTCCAAAAGCTGCGGGATCTGAGGCTAGTGAGCTCATTCCCCTCCGTTCTGGCAGCTCCGAAGGCTGGGCAGTCCAGGCGGTTGCAGTTTCCCAGAGCTCCGGGAGCGTTAGCCCTGGTATGCAGGACACGAGAGCCTATTTTCAGCAGGGGGCGCTGTCCAGCCAACAATCGTGGGCGGGTGGGCCAGGGATCCCAGGAAAGGAGAGGCAGTAGGGGTGGGGCCTGATGCTCCTGGCAAAGGCGGCCAGAGCCTGCATTTTCTAGTCCCTATGTCCTGACCTTGTGCCCTAAGAGACCTGGGTGATTTCGGCCCCCCACCAAGGCCTTTCATTGCTCTGAAGCTTGAAACTTTCCCCACTCCTGCCCCCTCCACTTTCCAGGGCAAATTTAGCAGTCGATTAAATGCCCCTTCCCCATTGGCTGGTTGTGCCTTGGCCCTGCCCCTCATCGCCTCCCGCCCGCCCCCCCCTCCCCCAGCCTCCAACCCGCAGGTGAGCAGGCGGCAGTGGCTAGGCAGCTCAGTTGTCACGCTCTCCCCTATGGAGACGCAGTGTTCCCTGGGCTGAGCCCTGGGGCAGGCGTCCGGCTTGGCCCACCTGCCCTGGGCAGCCTGCTTTTAACTATACTTTCAGGCAGCTGCGCTTTCTACCTTGAAATCAGAGCGCGATCTGGATACACTTGTTACATTCACTACATCCGCTTGCCAGTGGGGAGTGCTCCCCTACCTCCCTGTCCGGTCCCTCCACTGCCGGCACTGGCTGCGAAAGCCCGGCTTCCCCTACTCCCAGGGGGCCAGCGCGAGGCTGGGGATGCATCTGTGCCCAGCAGCTGGACACTGCAGGCTTGCCAGCACTTCTCCGGGGAAATCCGTGGTCTAGGGAACACGTGGAGCCCTGGCCAGCCCAACCGTGGGGTCTAGAAGACGGGAGCACTGCCCCGCCCTCAGCAGTTAAGCTGGTGGACCTTGTCCTCACACACACACACACACATCTTAACGAGACAGGGCACAATAAAAAATACCTAACAAGCTTCCCCCGCTATAAGTTAGAATATAAAAGGGGCAGGAGTTTTACTACCTAATCCGCCTCTACTCACCCACCCATAGGGATGGGGAAATAGCGGTTGCTCCTTATTCTCGAATGCAGACACTTGAACAGGACCTCTGTTTCAATACTTCACCCCAAAGAGGTACATTCTGCTAAGACCATCATAACTTCAGCTAAACAGCCATGTTTACTCAGTATGATTCTCTTCCGCGGTCCGTAAATTAAGTTCCATTTGGCAGGAGGAGCAACTAAGGCTTGGAAACATTAGGTTCTCACCCAAGGTCAACCAACCTAGGTGGTAAGAGGTGGAGCTGGCCCTTTCCCTAGGCCACACTGAAAGGATTAGGTGGTAATTTTATAGAGGCCAGGGTCCTTAACCGTCCTCATCAGGCATGCAAATTTCTTTTCAGCGTCTGTAACTCCTACTTTGATCTTTCCACCCATCCTGAAGGGCAGTGAGAGGGCTCCAGGGAAAGTGTGGGGAAAGGAACCCCAAAACAAGAAAAGAAGAAACTGCTGTTTGGTTCCACTTTTAACTCTGCCTTCTTTCTCTAGGGGATTAAAGGGATGAGTGGAGTGCACCCATACACCCGAACCCAAATGCCAGTCCCTTTGGGTCATTCTGACGTTGCCCACATCATCTCCTTCCTGCCTTAAAAGGACGACTCTGTCGAACCCCCACCACTCTCCCTTCATCCTTTTTTGGAACCTCAAGCAATTACCTTTCCCTCCATCTGCCTGTCCCACCTTCAAAACATTTTTAGCAATTTATTAAAACAAAAACAAAGTAGTCACTACCCAGTTCAAACTTCTCATGGTTCCCTATCAGCAAAGGTAGAAGCCCAAGCTGTGCTCCTCGGATTGGCCAGCAGGGCTCCTGCATCCTTCCTCCCCATCTGTCCCTTGCAGCTGCAGTGACTGAAGTGGGTTGTGCTTTCCTGCACATACTACCTTCTTTGTTCCCAAGCCTTTGCTCAGATTGTCTTCTCAGTTCAACAATTTCCACACTCAACCCTAATTCCTACTTTCCTACCAAAGCATATAGGCATCACCTCTCCCAGAAAGTCTTTCCAACTGCCCCAATACCCTTGCCCATCTTTTCAAGCTCCCAGACCATCCTAGGCCTAGCTGAGTCCTCGCACTGACCACATAGCTTTCATGACCTATTGGCATATCTGAGTTCTTTAATTTTTTCTCACCTGCGGACACCCTCTTTCATTGCTTTTAGAGGGAGAGGAAGGGGGAAAGGGAGAGAAACATCACTGAGAGAGAGAGAGAGAGAGAGAGAGAGAGAGAGAGAGAGAGAGAGAAGCATCAGCTGGCTGCCTCCCATACACACCTAGATGAGGGATCAGCCCTGCAACCTAGGTATGTGTCCTGACCTAGAATGGGATGATGTGCCTATCAACTGAACCATACTGGCCGGGGTCATACTGAGTTCTTAACTGCAAGTGTCAGACAGAGGACTGACCTAG